GGGGGAGACCGCGGGGCGGAGGGAGGGGAGACCGCGGGGCGGAGAGGGGAGAGACCGCGGGGCGGAGTTGGGGGAGACCGCGGGGCGGAGGGAGGGGAGACCGCGGGGGAGACTGAGGGACAGAGAGAGGGGGAGACTGAGGGGCAGAGAGAGGACAGAGAGAGGAGGAGACTGAGGGGCAGAGAGAGGGAGGACCAAGGGGCGGTGTGGGGGGGACTGAGGGGCAGAGAGGAGACCGAGGGAGAGAGAGGGGGAGACCAAGGGGTAGAGAGAGGGGAGGCCGAGGGGGAGAGAGAAGGCAGACTGAGGGGCAGAGAGAAAGGTCCAGAAGGAGAGTGAGGAGGCAGGAGGTGGGTCATGGTGGGAAAGGGCGACAGGCCAGCATTAACCCTGGAGGTGACACGAGCACTCCGGGGGCAGACACACTGGAGGTGGGGATGCTCCATGTGGGCCTCACAGCCAAAAGCAAGGAGAGGATTCCTGGGACCACTGTCCTGGATGATGAGTGAGCTCTGGGAGGCCACCCCTGCTTCAGTGACCTTCTGACACCTCCTTTCCTCCTCCACCTTAGAAACACGAGAAACCAAAGTATGTGCTGTGCGTGACCTTTCTGGAAGGTGGCGACGTAGTCACTGGGGACTCTGTGGGGAACCTCTATGTCTGGGGCAAAGGTCAGTGTCACTTCATATGTTTGGTCCCCAGTCCAATCCCCTAACACCCTTAGCTGTGTCTCCCTTCCTCTAACTTTGCTTATATCCTGTGATAAAATAGATTAAAGCCTTGTGTGTTAATTCCAATATCCCCATCAAGGCTCAGCTCAAATTTCCCCTTCTCCCTGAAACCTTTACTGTTTCCCTATACTTGTTGTCTATAAATCCCATGTTAGGGATCAAGTCTGAATTATAAATAAATGGATTATCTCAGTGGAAGGATGAATGGATAGGTGGATGCTTTGTCCCAGCCAGCGAATGAATGAATGAATGAAAGAATTCTTAATCAAGGAATGGAAGAATGAGTAGATAACTTTGTCATCCCCCTTAGTCGGTGGGTGATTAGGTAAATGAACAGTTACACGAATGGTTTGTCCCAGTCAATGGATCTATAAATGGGTGAATGAGTGAGTGAATATGATTCAGTGGTTGTCTTAGCCAATGGATTGAAGTGTCATGAGTGAACAGGTTGACCCAGGAAATGAATAGATGAGTTGATTGTCAGAGCCAGTGGATGGATGGATAAATGAATGAATGGTTGTCTAACCAATGGATGACCTTGTTAATGAATAAATGAATTGTCTTAGCTGGTGGATCAATGAATGAATGAATAGGTTATCCTAGCCAGAGGCTGGGAGAAGAATGAATGGATAGACCAATCTAGCTGGTGGGTGAATGTGTTAATGAATTAATGGATTGTCTCCGCCAAAAAGACAGGAGTGAATAACAGCTTACCCCAACCTTTGGGTGAATGTGTGAATAAAGAAATGAATGGTTTGTCCCAGCAAATGGATGGCATGAACAAATGAATGAGTTTTTTGGCCTGAGCTTTTTTTTTTTTTTTATTTTTGTTGTTGAAAGTATACACAGCAAAACATACACCAATTTAACAATTTCTACAGGTACAATTCAGTGACTTTGATTATATTCTTCAAGTTGTGCAACCCATCTCGCTCTCCTTTTCCAAATTGCTTCTTCCCCATTAACATGAACTCACTGCCCCGCTAAGCTTCCTATTTGTCCTTTCCAGTTGCTGTTGTCAATTTGATCCCATGTAGATAATCCTCCAAGAGCACAATGTTCAAGGCAAACATTCTTAACTAAATGAGCTAACCTATTATTTGGATTAAAGAAGACTTCAGGGGATAGTTTTGATTTAAGGTTTAAAGATTATCTTAGTGCAACAGTTTTGGGGGTTCATTCAGTCTTAATGGCTCCAGAAAGTCTGAAATTCCGTGAGAATTTGGCATTCTGTTCTACATTTTTCCCTCTTTTGATCAGGATTCTTCTATAGAATTTTTTAATCAAAATGTTCAGTAATGGCAGTTGGGCAGCATGTGTTCTTCTGGTCTCATGGAAAAGGAGGTATTTTATTCATAGAAGCAAGTAGGCATGCATTTCATTTCCTCCTCCTGTTCCTGACTCTCCCTCTTGCTCTGCTGCTCTGTGGCCTGTGCATTTTTGCTTTCACATACATTATATTCCTTATTCAAGGCTGCATTGAATATTATTCCTATTTCACAGATGAGATACAATAGGCTCAGAAAAGGGACGTGGCATAGTAAGTAGCTGAGCTGGGCAGAGTCAGTGCACTTAATCTCTGAAGTTCCTGCCATTTTCACATCTTTTGCCATACTGCACATGGGTATATGGGAATCAGGCCTGAACCAGGTGTTGCTGTGTGACCTCAGGTAAAGATTTTCCCTCTCTGGACCTCAGATTTCTTGCCTGTAAGCTGAGTGGCAGGCAGAGATATCTTTAAGCATCAGTTCTTCTGACCTTGGGAAACCAGGTCTCCCGTAGGATTACCCTAGACAGGGCCGGCATGTGAGTTTAGGAGTTGGTTAGTCCTGGGTTCAGGTCCTAGCAGTGCTGTGTGCTCTTTGTGTGGCCTTGGGAGAGTCACGTTTCTTGTCTGAGATGCATTTGCCTCATCTATTAAATGCGTATACTATCACTATCTCCTTCACAAGATTGTTCTGAGGTTTCCTTGAGATCAGGCAGCTGAGAATAAGCTCTGAACACTTGGTGGCAGTGTGTCTTTCCTGGCAAACTGTGAGCTCTCTGAGGGCGGGGACTAAGTCTGAGTCATTTCCATGGCCCCAGGCCTACTACTGGCCCAGCCCATGGGACTTCAGGGTGTCAGACAGGTGGACAGAATGATGTATGTGTCTAATGTAAAGAGAGCCCGGCTAGCTTGGAGGAAGTGGCACCACATGTGAAAGATGGGAATTGAAGACAGTTACTCCTTTCTCTCCTCCAGTTCTTCCCCCAGCCTCTTCCTTGGTCTCACTGTCTTCTGCCTAGAGCACTTTCCCACCCTTGCTTGTCCTAGCTGACTCCTACTCAACTTTCAGATCCTTGCTTAGCCATCTTCTCCTCCAAGAAGCCCTTGCTGACCCACCAAGCCTGGTACCCTCTCTGGGATCCCATAGCTTCTTGGGTTCCTCCACCCTAGCCCCAACTACCTTGGGTTGTCACTGACTGGTAATAGGTTTGTCTCAGTCACTGGACTGTGAACCCAATGAAGGTATGACCTGGATTGTGTTGGTCACCACATGTGTGTTTCCAGTATCATCCAGTATGAGACTAGGCCCAGGTAAATGCTAGTTAAGTAATTGTTGATTGAATGGGTTAAAGGATGAATGAATGGATGGGCCCATTGGCAGATGGATTGATAGGTGGATGAATGGGTAGATGGATTGGAAAATGAGTGGATGTTTAGGTTATAGAAGGATGGATTGACTGGTGAATGGGTAGTTGAATGACAGAGAATATGGATGAATGGATGAGAGGTGATGATGGATGAAAGAAAGGATGAGAGAATGGATGGATGGATAGATGGGTGGATGGGTGGATAGATGGATGGACATATCAGTAGATAAATTGATGCGTGGGTGAATGGATGAATGAATGGGTGAGAGAGTAGGTAGTTGGGTTAATAGATGGGTGGGTGGATTGATGGACATATGGGTAGATGGAAGGATGGATGAGTTGATGGGTGGGTGGATATTTGGATGGAGATCAGTAGATAAGTAGATGAATGGATGGGTAGATGGGTCAAAGGTAGATGGGTGGATGGGTAAATGTTAGCTCAGATGGTTTAATGAATAAATGGTAGGGTATTTGAGTAGGTGAGTAGTGAGTGGTTGGATGGCTGTGTGGATGGAAGAGTAGATAGAAGGATGGAAAGATGAGTGAACGGATGGATGTAGGCTCAAGAGTTTTAGGTACTTTCAGGGGGTGTTCAGGGCCAGCTTTCCCGTGCTGACCCCTGGCCCTGGCCACCCTGCAGGTGGGAATCGCATCACACAGGCAGTGCTGGGTGCCCACGATGGCGGCGTGTTTGGGCTCTGTGCCCTGCGGGACGGGACACTGGTGTCCGGTGGGGGCCGCGATCGGCGGGTGGTCCTCTGGGGTTCCGACTACAGCAAGCTGCAGGAGGTGGAGGTGAGGAGGGGGAGCAGGCTCACATGAGGGTGGGGAGGCTTCCCCCCAACCCGGCTCCTACCAATAGACCCTCCTCTTCTCAACATGTCACCCCACCCCCCCATGTGTGTCCTGCACTCCTCTACCTTCTTCCCTCTTGCCCCGCTCCCAGGTCCCTGAGGACTTTGGCCCTGTACGCACTGTGGCAGAGGGCCGGGGAGACACGTTGTATGTGGGGACCACCCGCAACTCCATCCTGCAGGGCTCGGTCCACACGGGCTTCTCACTGCTAGTCCAGGTGAGTTTCTTTTGTATCATCCCTCCTCCCTCCCCCACCATCTCTCTTCTCCTCCCTGTGCTACTGTACCACCCGTCCTTTCTGTCTTCCTCCTCTTCTATCTCCTCACCTCCCTGCCTCATCCCTTCTCCTTTGGCCTGGCAAACTCCACTTACCTTCCCTTTACCTGCCCTGGTCCCTGACCTACGACCCTCTTCCCCCTGAATGTCCTATGCTCCGGCAACTAACGGCTTAACTGCTAGCATGGCAGAAGATGCCCAGGACCCTGCTCTAGCTGTGCTGCCCACTCCCCTTCTAACTGGGGGTGGTATCCATTTCTATTGCTAAGCGTACGGGCAGGTTGTTAGGCGTGCCGTATATCCCCTGGGCCACACACTCTGCCAGGGATCCAGCTCCTAGGAGCTGGGAAGGCCCTTCCAGAGTTGGAGTCCGCCTGTATTTCTGCTTGCAGCTTCAATGCCCACTCCTCCCCTCCTGATGTGCCACTCCCTCCTTCCCCACCCACTTAAAAACCCCACCTACCAAGAAGTGGTGGAGTCCGGTGGTTAAAAACCAAACCAAACTGTTGAGTTCATTCCAACTCATAGTGACCCTATAGGACAGTGTAGAAGTGCCCCATAGAGTTTCCAAGGCTGTAATCTTTAAAGAAGCAGACTGCCACATCTTTCTCCTATGGAGTGGCCGGTGAGTTCCAACCGCCGACGTTTTGGTTAGCAGCCGAGTGCTGTAACCACTGCACCACCAATGGCTCCAAGTATGGTGGTTAAGAATATGAATTCTGCCCTGAGATACTATTTAAACCTTGTACTGAAACTATCCCAAGTGTACCTTTAGCAAAATAACAGATCGGCACACGAAACAAAGGACATTATCCATGAGTGCGGTGCTCTAGTGAGAAAACAATAATATGACACCGAGAGGTCACCAGTCACTCTCATGCAAAGATGAGAAGATAAGGGGACAGGGAAACTAGAGTACTGGAAACGGAACAACTAGAACGCAATTTAAGAGAATCTTGACACATTGTGAAAAATGTAACTAATGTCACTGAACAATTTGTGTAGAAATTGTCAAATGGGAACCTAATTTGCTGTGTAAACTTTTACCAAAAACACAGTAAAATACAGTGAAACCTGTGAGAGCTGGAACTCGATAGGACTGCCTTATTGGGTCTTGCAAGTTTTCTGCCTTTGACAGGCTGTAATCTTACCACTTTTCTGTCGCTCTCTATTAGTGGAAAATATTTGACTTTTCCTTCTCTGACAGGTTTCCACTTTACACAGGTTCTGGCTTTCACAGGTTTTACTATATTATTTATTTATTTATTTTAAATATATGAATTCTGGAGCATGCCTGCCTGGGTTGGCATCCCAGCCCTGTCACTTATGAGCTGTGTGATACTGGGCAAGTGAGTGACCTCTCTGTGCCTCTCTGAAATGAGGAGAATAACAGAACTGACCTCGTGAGGTTTGGTGAGGATTCCATAAGTCAGTTCATATAAAGCACTTAGAATGGTGCCCGGCCCAGAGCACGTGTTCAAAAGGTGTTGGCCACGATTGTTCCTTGCTCAGTGGTCCCTCTCCCCTCACTCCCTCCATGAGTTTTCCTCCTGACAGTCTAACTGAAATCCATGCTGCTGCATTTAGATCCTCCTCTGGCTCTGGTCTCCATAGGAGGAAGATGAGGAAAAGATGAAGAGAGAGGGATTTTCTAGGAGTCCTAAAACCAGAAGGGACCATGTTTGTAGTTGTTGTTAGCTGCTGTCCAGTCAGCCCCCGACTCGTGGTGACCCAAGCACAATGGAGCAAAACGCCGCCCAATCCTGTACCATGGCCACGATCAGTTGCGAGTGGGATCCATAGGGTTTTCATTGGCTGATTTTCGGAAGTAGATCACCAGGCCTTTCTTCCTAGTCTGTCTTAAATAGGAAGCACTGCTGAAATCTGTTCAGCATCATAGCAGCACATAAGCATCCAGTGACAGATGGGTGGTGGCTTCGACTGAGGTACACTGCCTGGGAATAGAGACGCCATTTTAATAATAATAATAATCAGCAGCTTCCCCTTTTGTGAGCACCATTTCATTACTAGCCTTGTGTTTAGCATTTCCATCCATGAGTTGAGTGAACACAATGACGATGTGAGGCTAGTACAATGAATATCCCCATTTTACAGAAGGTAAACTGAGGCTCCAAGGAGAACTCACCTGCATAGGAGCTCATATCATAGCCAATAAAACAGAGGGTCCCACCCACCAGGCCGGGTGCCCTCTGTGGGGTCCCACAGTCTCCTGGGTCCTGTCTGACTCCCGAGGTGAAGCTCTTAAATACCACACTCCCCTGCCTCTCATTGTACAAACAGGAATGCAGCAGCCCAGGGGAAGGGGCATGATTTACCTGGAGCCATACACTGGTGCAGGCGTCTGCTGATCGCAGCCCATTTTGGACACATTGGGAAACAGGTCTTCCGCGAGCCACACTGTGGGGCAGGGTGTGTTGCTGGTGCTAGCCCAGCACTTTTTCCTGGCATCAGGGTTTGGGTGGGAAAGGGCCAGGATTGGTGGTCTCCATGCTGATGTCTTGCCTTTCCTCCAGGGCCATGTGGAAGAGCTGTGGGGCCTGGCCACGCACCCCAGCCGGGCACAGTTTGTGACGTGTGGGCAGGATAAGCTGGTACACCTGTGGAGTGTGGGGTCTCACCAGCCCCTGTGGAGCAGGTGCATTGAGGTAAGGGGATGGGACATGGGGCACTCAGCACATCACTCTGACAAAACTACCTGTCTCAATCCATGAGGGCTTAGTGCATCGAATGGAAACCACACAAGGTATTTTTAAGCAGAAGGGAGTTTAATACAGGGAATTGGGTGCTTACAGACTCATTGGAAGAGCTGGAGGAGCACATTCGTGGCTGGAATGATGCCCAGAACAACACCACAGAAGCAACCCGCTAGGGGAGCTGCTGCCTTTGCCACAGAGAGGAAGGTGGGGAGTTAGGAACCGTTGAGTTCAAGAACACACCATCATAGCCACAAGCCAGGCACCAAGAAGCTGTGGCCGCTGCAACTTTTGACTCTGGAGCTACGCTTGTTGTCCAGTGTGGTAACCACCAGCTACAACAACAAGCCACGTGTGGCCATTCAAATTTTGATTGATAAAAATGGAAGTAGAATTTAAAATTCAGCTTCTTGGCTGCACTAGCCACATTTCAAGGGCAGACAGCCACATGTGGCTACTGGCTATTGGAAAGTGTGGATGTAGAACATCTTTTAATGTAGCAGAAGGTTCTGTTGGACAGTCTTGCTCCAGAGCCACCTAATGCTGGCTAAATTTGTACCGGTCACAAAACAGATACTCTGTGCCCTGTCTTTCAACATGCACAAGACTAGTGACTAGAACTGGGTAGTAACACAGCAAATCCCATTGCTTTCATGACCCAACTGGTCAGTAGAAGTGGTAGAAGCTGAACCTCTGCCTTTTGCCTTCTGGAGCCCACAAAAGTGCATCTGATTACAACAACAACAACAAAAAAGGAGTGGCTGTGAGGCTGCTTATGTACAGCCAAAAACCTCATGGGATTTAGTGCCTTGGTTTGGAGGTTTAGGGTCATGGTTTCATGAGAAATCCCGGGTAATTGGCCTAATAACATGTTTAGTGCTTCTCTTCTACTTCCTAGTTTGTTGCATAGTGTCTGGGGTCTTAAAAGCTTGCAGGCGGCCATCCAAGGCATGGCAATTGGTCTCTATTCACCTGGAGCAACAGAGGAAGAAGGAGAGTCAGGAACAGGAGGAGGATGTGGAATGTGTGGCTTATTGTCTCCAAGAATAACTGCCTCCTTGGCCATGAGATCAGAAGAACTGGATGGTGCCCAGCTACCATTACTGAACATTTTGATCAAAGATTCTATAGAAGAATCCCGATCAAAAGGGGGAAAATACAGAATAAAATTACAAATTCTCATGGACTCCAGACTTTCTGGAGCCATGGAGGCTGGATGAACCCCTGAAACTATTGCCCTGAGATAATCTTTAAACCTTAAGCCAAATATATCCTCTGACGTCTTCTTAAAACCAAACAATAGTCTAGATTAACAGTAAAAACGTCTGCCTTGAGCCTTATGCTCTTTTAAGAACTATATGGGATCAAAGTGACAATAGCAACTCGAAAGGTTAGATAGGAACCTCAGGGGTCAGTGAGTTGATGTTAATGATGGAGGAACAACTCAGAAAGGAAGGGTGAGAATTATTGCACAACTTGAAGAATGTAATCAGTGTCACTGAATTGCACATGTAGAAACGGTTGAATTTGTGTACGTTCTATTGTATATATTCTCAACAATATAACAAAACAAACAAAAAAATACAAGAGAGAGAAAATTACATCTGACTGTCGGACCCAATCACAGTGAAACGACAGCTGCAAGGGATTCTGGGAAGTGTACTTTTAAGCTCGCTTGCCTCTAGTATAGGAAAACATGCTAGAAGGAAGGTGGTTAGTCCACCAAATATTAGTTATTGTTGTTAATCTCTGTGAAAATGCGTGGAGGTGGTGTCTGACCTCCTCTAACTTCACAAGGTGGAAGGAGAATCAAGATCAACGGCCCAAGGCTGATTCATTCCTATGAGGCAGGGGTCAGACATCCCTCCTCTCTCAGCCATCTTTACCAATTCTGACACCAACCGTCCCTCCCCCAGCACTCTCTACTTCTCTGCTGGGTTGGATAATTCATTGCAGTGGCCACACAGAACTCACAGACAATACTCAACGATTATGGGGTTTATTAGGGAAGTAACAGGTTGCAATTCAGGCTCAGGAACGCTCAAGGATACAGTTCTTCCATCAGGACAGCCTCTTCCCACACTTCTACCTGGCCCTCAGTTTCTGCCAAAGGCACTCAGCTTTCTCGCTCCGTGGACCGGGAAGCCCACTGTGCCCTCTCCTGAAGGTCTCTCCTTCTTTGGTGGTGGTGAGCTCTTCTCTTTCCCCACCTCTGGGGTGGCTCATTTCCAACCCAGAGGGATGGCAAAAGTGACCAATCCCTTTGGTGGGCTACAATTACCCCATCAGACAATCTCGCCCAGTCACCTGGGTGGAAGTTACAAGACCATGACTAGAAAGGCCACACACAAAAGTAATCAATCGGACTGCAATCTCTTCCTGTGCCCAATTTGTAAATTATGTATAGGACAAAACATAGTATATATAGGCTTCGGTATTATCCGTGGTTTCAGGCATCCACGGGGGTCTTGGAACACATCCCCTGTGGATAAGGGGGGGACTACTGTGACCTTTGAAGGAGCCCTGATGGTGCAGTGGTTAAGCACTTGGCTGTTAACTGTAAGATTGGCGGTCTGAACCCACCAGTGGCTCTACAGGATCAAAGACTCAGCGATCTGCTCCCGTAAAGATTACAGCCAAGAAGACCCTATGGGGCAGCTCTACTCTGTCCTGTAGGGTTTCTGTGAGTTGGAATTGACTCGATGGTGTACAACAATATCAACATACGACCTTTGAACTTCTGTGAATGGGGGATGGTGTGCCCGGGAAATTATTAGGGGCATACATAATAATCATGGCGCAGTGGTTAAGCCCTCAGCTGCTAACTAAAAGGTCAGCAGTTCCAACCCATCAGCCACTTAGCAGCAGAAGGCTGTGGCATTCTGCTTCAGTAAAGATTACACTCTTGGAAACCCAATGGGGCAGTTCTACTCTGTCCTGTAGGATTACTGTGAGCTGGAATTGACTTGATGGCAATGGGTTTATAATAATCGTCATCCTGTCTAAATTGAGCACGTACTATATGCCAGGCCTGTGCTGAGCACGGCAGTTCTCTAGCTTGCCAGGGCATCAAAATCACTTGTGGGGTTGTTAGAAATGCAGATTCCTAGTATTATTTAAAATTCAGTTTTTTGATTGTACTAGCCACATTCAAGGGCTCAATAGCCACATGTGGCCTGTGGTTACTGTACTGGAAAGCATCGATGTCGACCATCTCTATCATCACAGAAGGGTCTGTCGGACAGTCTTGTTCCAGAGCCACCTAAGTTTGCACTGGTCACAGAACAGATACTGATTCAAGAGGTCTGAATGTGGGACGAGGGATCTATTCTTTTTAACAAGCAGCCTCTGGTGATTCTGATGCAGGGGGTCTCTGGACCATGCTCTGAGGAACTGGCTTAGCTCTGGCGTCATCTTAGTGACCCCTCCCCCAAACACCGCCAGGCAGCAGGAAAGATTGTTCCCTGCCTTCGTTTCCTAGCGCCACTGTATCAGCAGTACCACAGGGGGGTGGCTTTAACAAACCGAACTTTATTTTCTCACAGTTTGTTGCTGTTGTGTGCTATCGAGTTGATTCCGACTTCACAGCGACCCTATAGGACAGAGTAGAACTGCCCCGTGGGGTCTCCTAGGCTGTAATCTTTATGGGAGCAGATAGCCAGGTCTTTTCTCCTTTGGAGCTACTGGGTGGGTTCGAACCACCGACCTTTTGGTAAGCAGCTGAGTGCTTAACCGTTGCACCACCAGGGCTCCTTTCTCACAGTTTAGGGGGCTTTTTTTGTTGTTGTTAGGTGCCGTCGAGTTGATTCCGACCCATAGCGATCCTATGCACAACAGAACGAAACCCTGCCTGGTCCTGCGCCGTCCTCACAGTCATTGCTATGCTTGAGCCCATTGTTGCAGCCACTGTGTCAATCCATCTCACTGAGGGGCTTCCTCTTTTTCGCTGACCCTCTACTTTACCAAGCGTGATGTCCTTCTCCAGGGACTGATCCCTCCTGATAACATGTTCAAAGTATGTGAGATGAGATCTCGCCATCCTTGCTTCTAAGGAGCATTCTGGCTGTACATCTTCCAAGACAGATTGGTTCGTTCTTTTGGCAGTCCATGGTATATTCAGTATTAGGAAGCTGGAAGTTTGAATTCAGGACACCTCTCTAGGGAAAGACCCTCTCTGTTCGCTCTGGGGGAAAATCCTTGTCTCAGCTTCCCTAGCCTTCTTTCTGTATTCCTTGGAGATCTCCACACGGCATCTGTCTTTCCCCCATTCCTGCTTGCTTGCTTCTGCTCCTGGTCTGCTCTTTGATTTCTCAAAAGTGATTGGCTGAAGACACACTGATATGGCCTCATTAACATAACAAAGAAAGCCCTGTTTCCAAATGCGATTACATCCACAGGTATAAGGGTGAGGATTTACAACACATTATATTTTGGGGGGACACAATTCAATCCATAACAGTCCTCGCTTGGAAGTAGGCTCAGAAAGGCTCACCACTTGCCCAACATCCCAGTATAATTATAATCACAGCCAGCCTTTAGTGAGTGCTTCCTGGAGGCTGTGGTTGTGCTAAGGACTTTCCCCCTCACTGAATACTTGTAACAATCAAATGAGAGAGTAATGCTGATCTCTACTTGAAACCCAGTCTTGCAGGGAAAGTTATTTGACTAATGTCACGTAGCTGGGAAGTGTCAGAGCTGTGGTTTGAACCCAAGTCTGACTCCATGGTGTGCTGTTGTTTCTGAACTAACAAAATGCCCTCCCCCCCAAAAAAAACCAAAAGTGATAATACCCAGTGCTGATGAAGATGTGGAGAAACAGGCAGGCAGAAACAGCTTATCATAAAATTGATGGACCTTTATGGAGAGCAAATTGGCAGTGTATATCAAAAGCCTTAAAAATATGTGTACCCTTCGTGCCTGTGGTAACACTTTTAGGAAATTACCTAAAGAAACCATCTGCAGTGGAGAAAGCTTGTAGGAATTTAAACCACGAGGAAAAAGGATTCCAGAGTCAACAGTGACAGGAGGAATATTTTCTGTTCTGACTGACGTGTTAAAGGAAATAGGAATGATTTCCACGGTGGCTGGGGTAGGGGGTTACCTGGAGGGCAGCAGAGGAGGCTGAGAGCCCCCATGCCAGGCTGAAAAGTTGGCTCTGAGGCAGGAAATAGCTAGAAGGACGTGGGGACCTCAGCTCCCAGCCCTGCTTCTTCTTTCTTCTCCTCAGGATCCCGCTCGCTCTGCTGGCTTCCACCCCAGTGGCTCTGTCCTCGCCGTGGGCACGGTGACTGGCAGGTAAAGCTGAGGAGGGCACTTTGGGAGGGCTTCTCTGCTTCCTGGGGAACTGTCCCTTAAATAGGTACCAACTGTTTACCAGACCTTTATCTCCCAGCAAGGTCCCTGGATGGCGCAAATGGTTTGCACTGGACTACTAACCTAAAGGTTGGTGGTTCAAACCCACCCAGAGGTGCCTTGGAAGAAAGAACTGGCATTCTGCTTCCATAAAGATTACCCCCAAGAAAACCCTATGGAGCAGTTCTACTCTGTAACACATAGGGTCTCCATGAGTCGGAATGGACTCACGTAAGGGTTTGATTGGATTGGATCTTCCAGCATTCCTCTGGTGTCAGCCTCTCTCCCAAATCTCTTCTGGGGTCTCTCTCTCTCTCACCCCACAGATTTCCGCCCCTTTCTGCCAGATCAGCTCACCCCTACCCCACCCCTTGCCTTCTCACCCAAAAGGTGGCTGCTGCTGGACACGGAGACCCATGACCTAGTGGCAATCCACACTGATGGCAATGAACAGATCTCCGTCGTCAGCTTCTCCCCGGGTAAGCGATGGGCCTGGCACCCTGGAGAGGCAGGAATATAGTCTCAAGAATTACGGGCTGGGTGTGGGCGGAGCTTGGGGGCAAGGCCTGGGGGTGTGTGTAGGACTGTAGTGGGTGGAGCAGTTTGGAACAGCTGGGGAGTCTGGGATAGCAGGGGGCTGAATCTGAGTGAGGAGGGGGCGGAGCCTGGGTGCTTCCTCATAGCCCCCTCCCCCTCCCCCAGACGGGGCGTACCTGGCCGTGGGCTCCCACGACAACTTGGTGTACGTGTACACGGTGGACCAGGGCGGCCGCAAGGTTAGCCGCCTGGGCAAGTGCTCGGTGAGTGGGCAGTGGCCCCCAGCCCGCGCCGCCACCCCTCCCGGGGTATGCAGAATTAACAACTTTTCTACCTCAAGGGAGCACGACAGCTTCAACGCTCAAACGACTCCACCCTGATCTGCCAAGGAGCCTTAGTCCTGCCCACACATTTACCCTACTCCTGTGTTCTAAGCCCGCCCCTTTGTGTAGCCCCGCCCCTTCGTGTAGCCCAGCCCCTTGCATTCAAAGTCCGCCCCTCTGTGTCTGGCTCCGCCCACATGTTCTAAACTCCCATCATGGTCTAAGCCCTTTTTGTCTAGCCCCGCCCACCACAGTCTGGCCCCGCCCATGAGAGTCTGGCCCGGCCCCCACATTCCAAAGGCTTGTGTATTCCCCCTTGTGTTTTCACCCACCTCTGTATTTTGCCTTCCACCCTTCCTAGTCTAGTCCCACCCCTCTGCTTGGTCTTGCCCTCTCCAGCTCTAACTCTGCCCCTTCCCTCCCCGCAGGGCCATTCCAGTTTTATCACCCACCTGGATTGGGCCCAGGACAGCAGCTGTTTTGTCACCAACTCTGGGGACTACGAGATTCTGTACTGTGAGTGCTTGGAGACCCAAAGACTTTCTTCCCTCAGCCTCCTTATTTGCATATATGATTTGCATACCCCCCTGAATTCTGGGAAGGAAGGTGGGGCTTCTCCAACTCTTCCCTGACTCTTGGTATTCAGGGGCCTTTCTGATTGGCTGGGAGTCCCTGAGTGCTCAACCAGTTAAGACTTCTGGCTGCTAACCAAAAGGTTAGTGGTTTGAATCCACCCAGAGGCGCCTCAGAAGGAGGGCCTGGCAATCTGCTTCTGAAAAATCAACCACTAAAACCTTATGGAGAAGATTCTATTCTGACACACATAGGGACGCCATGAGTCAGTATCAACTGGCCGGAAATCTTCTTTTTCCTGATTAGCTGGGGCTTTGGCTACTGATTTCTTCACAGTGGGTTATCACTTTAGCCAATTCCTCCTCTTTCTAGTTGAATGGGCGGGGTGCAGATTTCTAAGCAGATGTCCCTGCTTAGGTTTTGGGATATTAAGCCTCAGGATCCAGTATCCTCAGCCAGTCTGGAGGCATAGAATGAGCCCTAGGACCTTTGCCTCCTCTGTCTTGGACCTCAGTGTCCACTGCCTGTGAAATGGGTGAGTTAAATCAGTAGTTCTTCCAGCTCTGAGCCCCTCCTCCTATTTTCTGACTCAGGGGACCCCGCTACCTGTAAGCAGATTACCAGTGCAGATGCTGTGAGGAATGTGGAATGGGCCTCAGCCACTTGTGTCCTCGGGTTTGGGATGTTCGGTAAGTACTAGAAGGGGGGCAGTCCCACTGACACCAGGAGCTCCAACAAACATCCCTGACTGGTGGTTTTCACAGACTCTTATTGGTTACCTCCAGGGTGGGGGACTCACTCCTTTCTGCATGTGAGCAGAATTTGTGTAAAAGGAAGGGCTGGGATGAGATGATTGCTGTGATCCCTTGGAGCTGTAACAAAATGAGCCCAAACTGGGTGGAGGCACCTGGTCCACACTGCTGGTGCCCCAACCACCTGTTTATTCAGGCATGAATGTAGTCAACACACTCTCCTTGAGCACTTCCGGGGGCTGCCCTGTGCTGGGCGGTGCTGGGAACACAGAGGAGCCCACGACACCCCAGCCCTGCCCTCCTGGCACTCCCAGTCCAGTGAGGGAGACAGACGTGTGTCTAGACAGTGACAGCCCAGAGTGGACTGGGCTGGGGTGGGGGAGTCCAGAGGGGACATTTGGCCCAGCCTAGGAGGGAGTCAGGGAGGGCTTCCTGGAGGAGGGGACATCCACACTGAGATGTCAAGGATGAGGAGGTACTCCGCAGGGGGTGAAAAAAGAAAGTGTGGTCTAGGCAAAGGGAATGAATGCATATACAAAAGCTCAGAGGTGTCACAGAGCTTGGCATTTGGGAAATGCAAGATGTCAGGGTGGCTCAATCCTTGCAGATCTCAAGGAGAGCGGTGGTGAGGGTTGAGGCTGGGCAGTGGGAGGCCAGGCCATGCAGAGCCTTGGTGAGATGCCTAGGCTTTCTCCTGAGGCCACCAGGAAGCCATGGAAGGGTTTTGAGCAGGAGAGAGATGGGGTCAGGATTGCATTTTCAGAAGATCTTTCCAACTCCGTTTCCAGCTAGAGTCAGATTGGGTGGGAGGAAGGCAGGAAAGCGGGGCTGGGGCCTGCTTCCCTTGAGGTCCCTGGCCCCAGCTGACATCTTACCGTGTCCCCCTCTTCTTGCCCGCAGGGATCTGGTCCGAGGGGGCTGACGGTACTGACATCAACGCCGTGGCCCGCTCCCACAATGGGAAGTTGCTGGCTTCAGCTGATGACTTTGGCAAAGTCCACCTGTTTAGCTACCCCTGCTGTCAGCCTCGAGTGAGTGCCCCTGGGAGGCTGGTGGGCTGGGATTAACAAGCAGTGTTAGGGGCAAGATTCAGGCAGCCCTCGTCCATCCCAGCCCTCTCTGGGCCTCGGTTTCCCCATCTGTACAAGGAGGGCAGTGGACTTGATCCCAAGGGCCTTTCTTTCTTGCCCTGAAGGTCAAGGGATTTCAGAGTCTAATGCTGAAGATGGTGACTTTCTAAAGCTGTGAGGGTCTGCAGTTCCACAATCTTGGGTTTTTTTTAATCCTTATTAACTCAACAAATATTTATTGAGCACCTGCTGTGTGCCTGGGCACAGGGGATGCAGCATTTGGGGTCACTGCCCTCATGGAGCTGACATTTTAGTGGTGGGGTGGATGGTTCCAAGATGTTAAAAAAACCCGTTGCTGTGGAGTTGATTCTGACTCATAGCGACCCTATAGGACAGAGGAGAACTGCTCCATAGGGTTTCCAAGCAGCGGCTGGTGGATTTGAACTGCCGACGTTTTGGTTGGCAGCTGAGCTCTTAACCACTTTGCCTCCAGGGCTCCACTTTATGGGTGTAACTTCTTGAATTTCTAGTCCTTTTAAAATTATTGAGGTCTCACCAATAACGTGGATTGGTTGTGTACTCCCTCATAAAATATAAATACGTGCATGGGATTGTAAGAGGAATATGACGAAGTTCTCAGATTTTCTGATTCGAAGCCCCCATGATTCTCCTGCAGTTCTAGGACAAAGGGTCACAAACTCCAGTGCCACAGGGTCAGGCAGGTGGCGAGAATGAGTGAGTCAGTCTGGGGGTGAGGCTGTGGGGTACTGAGGAACAGCTGTTCCTGACACCCCGCTGGTTGTGGCCCTGTACAAAGCGGGTTCAGTATTCTCAGATCTCAGAACAGCCGGAAATCAGGATTTCCATGTGAACTCTCTTGATTTTTAAATGTCAGCAACTAGCTTTCTAAAAATACTATGGGTCATACACAACTTGTCCGTAGATATCCTGCATCTAAGATAGAACTGGACGTTCATTTTACCATTCTCTAGTTCAAACAAAAGACAACGAGTTTGTTTGTTTTAACATTTTGCTATAAAATTTTTCATACACGAAAGCAGAAGGAATAGTACTGTACCCATTACCCACGTTCAACTATTATCAGGGTTGGCACCCTTGTGTCTTCTTTCTCTTCTTGCTCTGTCTGTTTTTTTGTTCTCTTTTGTTTTGTGAAGCAAACCCCATATATCACCTTTTTGTGTGTGTCTGGAGAAAATACACATAACGAAACATAGGTCAACTCAACAGTTTCTATGTGTACAATTCAGTGACATTGATTACATTCTTGGAGTTGTGCAACCATTATCACTATCCTTTTCCCAATCATTCCACCACCATTCACATAAACTCACTGCCCTCTAAGCAATAACTCCCCCTCCCCCCGTCCCTCCCACCCCTGGTAACCACTAATAGCTTTTGGTTTCTGTACCATTGCTTATTCCATATAAGTGAGATCATGCAGTACTTGTCCTTTTGTGACTGACTTGTTTCACTCAGCGTGATGTTTTCAAGGTTCTTGCATGTTGTGGCGTGAACCAGGACCTCACTTCTCTTTATGGCTGAGTAGGATTCCATTGCGTGTATGTACCAGACTTTGTTTATCCATTCGTCTGTTGATGGACATTTCGGTTGTTTCTACCTTTTGACTATTGTGAAAAGTCCTGCAGGGAACATTGGCGTGCAGGTTTCTGTTTGCCGTATATCATCTTTTAGTCCCCCAAATTAAGCCTTCATATCTAAAAAGCAAGGATAATTATTACATATCCACAAACCCATTACCACCCCTAATAATGTTAACCTTAATTCCTTGATATGATCCATATTCAAATTTGCCTGCCGCAAAAATGGCCTTCTGCAGTTGGTTTGCTTGAAATTTGGTTTTGTTTAAAATTTGGTTATGTCTCAAATCTCTTCATGTAGAACAGCTTCCGCCACATGTACAATCTTTTTTTTTTTTTTTTTTAATTCAAATGAGGTGTTGAAAAAACCAGATCAGCTGCCTTCTTGGTTGGTAAAGGAGGAGCTTGTTGAGCAGAGGAAATGAGGGTCAGGTCAGGAAGATCATGGGGAGGCCCTGGATGGTTCAAATGGTTAATGCGCTCGGCTGCTAACCAAAAGGTTGGTGGTTTGAGTCCACGTGGAGGCACTTCAGAAGAAAGGCCTGGCAACCTACTTCTGAAAAATCAACCATTGAAAACCCACTGGAGCACAGTTCTCCTCTGACGTACACAGGGTCACCGTGAGTCAGAATCTGGTTAGTCTGACTGCAGCTGGTTTGGTTTTTGACCTTTTTTTCATCTCCTTCTTTTCCTATAACAGGCCCTCAGCCACAAATACGGGGGACACAGCAGCCATGTGACGAACGTGGCCTTCTTGTGGGATGACAGTGTGGCCCTGACCACAGGGGGCAAGGACACCAGCGTGCTGCAGTGGCGGGTGGTCTGAAGCACGGGGGGCCCGGGGACGGGACTGAGATAGAGTGAAGGTGGCAGGGTGGGAATTCTATTTTCGGGAGATGTCTATTACCGAGTAGAGTAATATATACCCAGAGTCTATAGCAGAGGGGGTTATGGGGGGGTGGGTGGGTAGACAGACAGAAGTCTCTATTTATCTTGGGGTGGGAAGAGGGGCCACATTACTTTGGGGGAGCCGTTGGTGTGTTTGGTTTGGGGTGTTTTTTAAGTTTATTCTTTTACATCATCCAGAAATAAGGACACGTGCACTGAGGTGGAGTGTCAGGGTCTGTGAATTTATTTTGTGTGTGCGTGCGTGCGTGCGTGTGTGTGTGTAAAAAGAAATCCATTGCCAGAGTCAATTACAACTCATAGTGACCCTACAGGACAGAGTAGAACTGCTCCATAGGGTTTTCAAGGCTGTAATCTTTACAGAAGCAGACTGCCACGTCTTTCTCCCGTGGAGCAGCTGGTGGGTTTGAACCGCCAACCTTTCGGTTCGCATCTGAGCACTTAACCACTGCACCACCAGTGTGTGTATGTAGCATGCCTGTATACCACTGTTTGTTGTGAGGGACCATTGTTACTTGGCCTTTATTGGGTGCAACTGACAGAAACCAAGTGTTAGGGATTGAGTCGTGTCCCCCGAAAATGTGTGTCAACTTCGCTAGACCATGATTCCCAGGAGTATGTGACTGTCCACCATTTTGTGATCTGATGTGATTTTCCTGTGTGTTGTGAATCCTACCTCCATGATGTTAATGAGGCAGGATTAAAGGCAGTTATGTTAATGAGGCAGGACTGAATCTACAAGATTAGATTATGTCTTAAGCCAATCTCTTTTGAGATATAAAAGAGAGAAGTGAGCAGAGACAGGGGACCTCATTACCACCAAGCAAGAAAAGCCAGGAGAATAGTGAGTCCTTTGGACTTGGGGTCCCTGTGCTGAGAAGCTCCTAGACCACGGGAAGATTGATGACGAGGACTTTTCCCCAGAGTGGGCAGAGAGAAAGCCATCCCCTAGAGCTGGCACCCTGAGTCTGGATTGCTAGCCCCCTAGACTGTGAGAGAATAAATTTGTTTGTTAAAGCCATCCACTTGTGATATTTCTGTTATAGCAGCACTATATAACTAAGACACCAAGCTTGCTTTAACTTAGGCCAAAAGAGAACTCGGTTGACCTCATAGCCAAACAAAGAAGGGCAGGGTGCCTCTGGGGCCCAGGGCCATTGAACTAGGGATTTGAGGGCCTTCGGGACACTCTCTCCTACTCCTTTTATGCCTTCTCTGACTTCCTATGAGTCAGCATTTTTCTCTGGGACCTGCATTCTCCACACCACAAAAACATGGCACCCAGCAGCTTCCATGTTCACATCAACCATCCTCACCCCCAGAGAAGTATTAAAGCACTCTCCTGGGCCCCAAATCTTAAAAATCCCAGGGAAATTTTTAAGGCTGTGATCGGTCCATTTCAAGACCAATCAATATGGCCTGCAACTGTTCACAATAGCAAAAAGATGGAAACAACCTAGGTGCCCATCAACGGACGAATGGATAAACAAATTATGGTATATTCACACAATGGAACACTACGCAATGATAAAGAACAACGATGAAGCTGTGAAACGTAACATGGAGGAAGCTGGAGGTCACTATGCTGAGTGAATTGAGTCAGTCACAGAAGGACAAATATTGTATAAGACCAATATTATAAGAACTCAAGAAAAGGTTTAAACACAGAAAGAAAAAAAAAATCATTCTTTGATGGTTATGAGGGTGGGAGGGACAGTGAGGGTTATTCACTGACTAGACAGTAGACAAGAATTATCTTAGGTGAAGGGAAGGACAGCACAACTGGACTAAACCAAAGCTAAGAAGTTTCCTGAATATAATCAAACACTTTGAGGGACAGAGTAAGTAGCAGGGGTAGGGGTCTGGGGACCATGCTTTCCGGGGACATCCAGGTCAATTGGCATAACAAAGCTTATTAAGAAAATGTTCTGCATCCTACTTTGGCGAGTGGCGTCTGGGGTCTTAAAAGCTTGCAAGCAGCCATCTAAGATGCATCAATTGGTCCCAACCACCTGGAGTAATGGAGAATGAAGAACACCAAAGACACAAGGAAAAGTATTAGCCCAAGAGACAGAAAGGGCCACATAAACCAGAGACTTCATCAGCCTGAGACCAGAAGAACTAGATGGTGCCCAGCTACCACCAATGACCGCCCTGACAGGGAACACAACAGAGAGTCCCAGATGGAGCAGGAGAAAGGTAAGGTGCAGAACTCAAATTCTAGTAAGAAGACCAGACTTAATGGTCTGACTGAGACTGCAGGAACCCTGGAAAGCATGGCCCCTGGATTCTCTATCAGCCCAGAACTAAAACAATTTCTGAGGCCAACTCTTCAGACAGGTATTGGACTAGACTGTGGGACATAGAGCGATACTCATGAGGAGTGTGCCTCTTAGATCAGGTAGACACAGGAGACTAAACGGGCGGCTTCTGTTCGGAGGTGAGATGAGGAGGCAGAGAGGGTTAGGAACTGGTTGAATGGACGTGGGGAATCTGGTGGAAAGGAGTGTGCTGTCACAGTATGGGGAGAGCAATTAGAGTCACAACTGTGTATGTATAAATTTTTGTACGGGAAAAAATAAAAAGATATTCATTATTTAAGAAAAAAAATATGGCCTGCAAGTTGATTTACTGTGACTGGCTCCACTTGCGTAACCAACAGCACCTGGACCAGTGACTGTGGCAAGGGAGGTGGGATTGTGTAAAAACATGGACGCCTCCACTTGACTCAGAGTTGGAGGAGGGAAGGAACGTTTTCAGAGAAGCAGGCTGACACAATAGGTTTCTGGGAGAGTGGGGTATTAGGACGCTGGGTTGCAAGAGAAAAACTCAACGCTAGCCAGCATAACCAATAAAAAGAAGTTACTGGCTTATGAACACTGAGTATCCAGGAGAAGATCAGCTGGATTCAGGGGCTCAAATGTGGTCATCGGGGTTCTCCTTCCCTCAGGGATTTGCCAAATTCTCAACGGCAGGTATTTTCCTCCACTGAAGGAAAGAGACAGTGTACCTTAGTGGTTAGGAACCTGCACTCTGGAATCAAACCATCTAGGTCCAAATCCTGGTTTCTCAGCTTAGTAGATGTGTAAACTTGAGCAATTTTTTTTTTTACTTCAACTTTTTGTTAGTGTTTAACATTTATGTGCTGAATTGTATCCCCCCAAAAGATATGTTGAAGTCCTCATCCCTGGTACCTGTGAACGTGACCTTATTTGGAAATAGAGCCATTGCAGATGTAATTAATTAAGATGAGGTCATATTGGACTGGTTGAGACTGGAGGACTCCCCGAGACTACTGCCCAGGAAACTCTTGAAACCTTGAACTGAAACTAACCCCTGAGGTTACCTTATAGCTAAATAACAAATAAACTGGCTCAAAAAATAATGAGTATCATCTGTAAGTATTGTGCTTCTTTAAAAAATCACCTGTATGAGACCAATTGGTCAACAATTACTATAAAACAAAGATGAGAATGTAAGGGGGCAGGGAAACTAGATTAATGGAAACAAAACAACCAGAATGGAAATAATAAGAATGTTCATGCATTATGAAGAATATAACCAATGTTACTGAACAACTTGGGTAAAGATTGTTGAATGGGAACCTAAATTGGTGTCTAAAACCTTCACTGAAAACACAATAAAATATTAAAAAGATAAATGAGGTCAGTAGGGTGGGCCTTAATCCAATATGAGTGGTATCCTTATAAAAAGAGAAAAGTCAGATGGAGCAGTTCTACTCTGTCACATGGGGTCGGTATGAGTCAAAGTTGACTTGACAGCACCCAACAACAATAGACCACTTGCTGTAAAATATTTGAATTTTATTCAAAGAACAATGAGAAGCAATTAAAGTTTTTGGTTGGTTTTATTTTTTAATCAATATTAAAAGATTTTCTACCTTGTAGATTTACTTAGTATCTTTCAGTAATTTTTAAAAGAATATTAAAAAGAATCATCTTTATAGAAAGTATAATTTAAATAGAACGCATCCATTTTAACTGCATTCTTCGATGAGTTTTGACAAATGTACCAAACCAAAAAAACCCACTGCCCACTGTCGAGTTGACTCTGACTCATAGCGACCCTATAGGACAGAGTAGAACTGACCCATAGGGTTTCCAAGGAGTGGCTGGTAGATTCAAACTGCCGACTTTTTGGTTAACAGCGGAGCTCTTGACCCCTGCGCCACCAGGGCTCTGACAAATGTACACACCTGTGTAAACAGCCCCCAATCAAGATATAGAATATTCCTGTTATTCCAGAAATTTCCCTCATGCTCTTTTGCAGTCAAGGGACTGGTGTTCTGTCACTAAGGATTAGTTTTGCCTGTTTTAGAATTCCAAATAAACAGAATTCTGGAGCATTTAAAAAAAAAAAAAACCTATTAGTCAAAGGAACAAGTTTGAGCCTAGAGGCCCAAGGCAAGCATCTCTACAACATGTTGGCTCATATTTGGGATATCAGGAGCATGAGCCTCTTTTTCCATTCTCCCTCCCAGTAGGGGAGAAAGGGGCATTACAGAGCTTGAATGTGCTCATTCCATTCTATCAACCCTAGCAAGCCAGGAGCTCCTAACTCAAAAAAAAAAAAAAAAAAAAAAGCGACAGACCCGGAGGGAAGATGACTCTGTGTTGACGGAGGACGGAGGCAGAGACTGGACTTTTGCTTCCACAAGCACACCAAGGGTTCCTGGCTGTCACCAGAAGCTAGGAGAGAGGCAAGGAACAGATTCGCCTTCAGAGCCCTCAGAAGGAATCAACACGGCCGACACCCTGATTTCGGACTTCCGGCCTCCGGAACTGTGAGTTTTCGTTGTATTATGACCCCCGGTTTGTGGTATTTTGTTATAGTAACACTGGGTAAAGAACACACATACGTGCAGAGAAGTTCACTCCTAAGTGTACAGCCTGCTGAATTTCCACAAACAACACGCCCGTGCCACCAGCTCTCGGATTCCGAAACAACATTCCCAGTCTTCCAGAAGCCCTCTTGTTCCTCCTCCCCGTCACTGGCCTCCAAAGTAACCACTACCGTGACCCCTCACACCATAGAACAGTTTTACCCATTTTTGTCTTTTATATGAGGCGTCAGCACACTTTTTCTGTAAAGGCGAGCTAGTATATATGTACTTCAGACTTTGTGGGCCATACGGCCTTGGTTGCAACTAACGCTGGCATGGTAGCATGGAACAGCCAA